TCACTAAATTACTGGTGACTTCTGAATGATCTGTTGTGGTCGCCTGCTCTGCCAGTCGCTTCGGATTCGACAAGCACGCCTTCGCTCTCTTGGTCTTATGGCCGTAAAGCCCACAAAATTTACACTGTATACTTTGCTTTGACTGCTTTTGCTTTCCGACCATGGCAATGGCCCTCTTATATCCTTGCCATTCGCTCTATCCTCTGCGAGCTTTTCGAAATAGAGCTTAATCTTGTGGTAGTTCTTTTCTTGACGCTGCTTCTTGTTCTTGTTTTCCTGGATTCCTGCAATCGATATGCCCGTTGCCCCTCTACCTTTCGAATCCTGTGGAGCGTCAAGTCATCCATTTCCAAACCCAATCGCTGGAATAGCCGTTGATAGAAACCATCGAAACCCATTGATTGGATGCAAATGGCGGTACAGATTCTGTTGCGCAAGGATACCGATCCACAGTAAGTTTTGTTCTTTGGAGCGAGCCAGCTGATTGTGTTGTTGAGTGATTCATTTGGATTTGTATCATACCCATGACAAACCTCTCTCATCGCTTCGATTGTTGTAAATGGTTGCATCACATCTTTCAACAGGTCATACAGTCCTTGTCTTTTACCATGTCACGGTAGACCTTCGTTGATTGTTGCTTCTCCTCATCGGTTGCTGCTTTTCGAATGCACCAATCGCCACACTTGTCATGACTGTCGAACATGTGGTCCAAGCAACACTCAGCTCTCTCGACCCATTCCTCCTCTGCAAACTTCAAGTTTTGGCGCACCATGTAAATATAGAACTGAGACAACCGGATGATGTCACCTTCTTGAAGTCCTTTGTTGACACACTTCTTTTTCTTCTTCAACTTGTACAGAACAGTCTTCAGACTTTTCTTCCGATGAGCCGGATCTGCCAGGAAGGTTGGTGGTGGAATTGGATATTGAAGATATCCTTCTTTTCTCTTGACCCATTTCCCTCGACTGTCACGGCGAAGGTTGATGTCAGTTCGATTCTCGTGTTTCATCCAATCCTTGTTTGTTGGACCATCGACAACTTGCCCTCATGGTACTGGTTTGCTGAGGTTTTAAGCCAGCTGAGCCAGGAATACGTTATTGTAGGCGAGTCCGAGGAGCAGCAAGCACGAGCACCTTGCCAGCTTGGCAACCTTGAAGTTCAGTTCTTTGGTTTGGTTCCAAACGAGCTATAAAGTTACGGCAACCAACACGAAGAGTATCGCAGCTTCAAGGGACCTTATCAAAACCAACCAACCTTCCCGGATTCAGATCGGCACTAGCTAGCTGCAAGAGATCCAAAACTGAGTGCTAATGAAATCGATGTCAAAATACAAAGCTACCTAGTAGAGTTTGCAGGAACAAAGTAAGTTATGAACAATATTTTCTGCACAGTCATGCCTTAGAAGTTTCAGATTCTGAATGGTTACGAAGATAACGAGCAACAGAAGTTGTGACGCCAGCACCTTGGTCGGATCGTCAAGGAAGAGAGTTGCTTGATACGAGATCATTGGCTAACATGTATTTTGAGAGAGCAAACTCACTGACTAGCCAAACCTAAATAATGATTGTTGACACTACTTTTAATAGAATTTAAATGTACAAGTGGAGCTGCAGTACTTGCTTCTCTTTTAGCCAATTGGGTAGCTAGATAGGAAGCGCTTATCGAATGGCCGGAACGTCGACCAGAGTCTGGATTTGATTTTCCAACGAGGCTCGCCTTTGGAGAAGGGCATCCCGTTCGCTCCGTTCCCGTTCCATCCACATGGCAGAGGAGGACATCATGAAGGACTCGCTCTTGTCTTCTTCGAGATCCGACGGAATCCTGGGACGACTTCGGCTTCGTCGGCGGTTGGCACGACGACGATTCTGTCTGCGGCGGCAGTGGTCCACCGGCGTGTTGCAATCGGAAGGAGACATGAGAAGACTGACCGAGGAAGCCGTCATAGAAGCCGTCATATCCACCGTGGAGACGGTCATATCCTGGGAGACAACCGTGCAAGCGTCCCCGCCGCTGATGCCAGAATCGTTCAACATCGTCAGCTTCTTGGTCAGCACGCGACGGTGTAACCGCGAAGTGATCTTCAAATCATCCATGGTCTCTTGAAATTCAGCACTGCCTAGCCCAGCCAGGAACGCCCCATCCACACCATTCTCCAGCACAGAGGCAGCGTAAGGCTTGTACTGACCCCCAAGGTTTTCCATTGCGGCGCTCACCTTGGCGCTGTCCCACTGATTCAACGGTCTTGATTGATCCAAACCCATGGTGTTGATGTTGCTTTCAGATGATGGTTTTGACGAGTTTTTCTTTTGAGGTTGAGGCAAGATTTATGTTGTGATACTCTGCTAATCTGCTTTTTGGAGGAGAAGGCGAAGAAGCAAAGCCACCTTGGCAGCTGAAAAGTCAATAGATAAGCTATGGATAGAAGTTTCAGTGGGAGAGCTGTAAAAGGCGGGAGTGGCCGGAGCGACACGTAATGATGAGAGGGGAGGAGAGAGGAGAGGGGAGGGTGCCGCCCACGACCAAGAGAGCTCCAAGATGAAAGAACTCAAGCAATTTTGGGCTTCGTTGGAAGAGTGAATCTTACTTGCAAACATAAGTATTCAGAATCCAGCTAAAATTGCTTTGAATTAGGAGTATAGCTGAATAGGTAAGCAAGAGATTTAAAGTAGGGCTATAGCTAGTGGCCACATCAGTAAAAGAGCATTCAATTGATTTAATGGCTGTCATCAAGGCTGATGAATGGTCAAAATATTTACTGCAAAATTGCTAAGCAAAAGAAGGTTTCTTAAATTTGGGCATTGATGTCTGAGAAGATGGTCAAAATGACATAGAGAGAGTCATTGTCATTGCATCGTCGCTCATTCTTAAGTCCAGGTTTCCGTTCACTTTCAATCTTGGTTGAAGAAAGCTCTTACGCAGAGGAGAACTGCTTTCTTGGGGCTGTTGAACTTCGGTCGCGATGAGTCGAGTGGAGTCAGAATTCGTTGGGCCTCTTACTGGTAGCTTACTGGTGCATGATGGAGTCATTGAGTCATTGGACAGATGCTTTTGTCGTGAAAACTTCTTTTTCTTGGTCTACCGAATTCTCGAATTCTTCGGCTTTTGCTCTACGGTACCGTAGCTAAGATCTACGACCAATCGTACCACTACGGTAAGCTACCATAGCCAGCTACCTAGTAGCTAGCTTGGATACTGTTGTCTGTAAATCCACCCTTTACGATCCACCTCCTGAACCCCATTAGACAAGCAGTTGAGCGTTACAGGTTGTTCGGCAAAGAAAACTACTCAAAGGACCTCTCAAAAGCTCAAAGGACACCATCAAACCAGTCCGGAGAGTTCGTCATCTGTAACCTGAAAGATGGGCTTCCAAACGAATTCCCAGAAGCAATTGGAGTGCAATCTTGGGCCCCTTCTGCCCTTCTGTTCCTTGCCTTTGCTCGAATCCCCCAAGATTAGGACTACATGTACCGGCGCTGAGAACTCGACTGACTATGTAAGCAAAACACGTACAATCTACGAGCAGGTGGCCAAGTCAATGCATTCCTTGGAATACCATACTAGGTCTTGAAGCAAACTAAATTGTCTTCTAAAAAATCCTAATGGCTGAAAATATCTACCACCGTTGCGGTGCCTTCTGACAACGGCGTAGCTAGCTCCAGCTCCAACGAATCGAATCGAATGATCAATCTGCCACAGTGCACGCAGAAGTCCATGATGTAATCACATTGCACATCTGCTCATCTACAGTACTCGGATCTTCGGATCTTTGCGATCTTACCGCCCGCCAGAGCGTTTCCAGAAAGCCATCAGAGCTAAATATCTTTTCTAGTACATCACAAGGGTGAGAGATAAAAGCCCGTCGCTCAACTTCGTAGTAACCGTAGCTCTAATGACAGCCTGACGACGGAAAGACTGCCAGGTTCCGCGAATGATGAATCGAATCGTCAATCTGCATCCTCTTTCTTTCGCACCTTTTCTCGCGAGGGGCAACTCAACAAATTTCTCGGATCTGAAGCTACCGCACTTCCACTTCTAAAACTAAAGACCAAGATGATGATGGACTCTTCTTTGAAACGCAAGCTCGAAAACGACGGTATGTCACCCAAAATCCACAAGAATTCCATGCTTCATGCAGCCCGGGTGATGTTTCACAAGGTGAGCACAGATTTCAAGCAAAATCCCAAGCTGCAGAATGATGTCAAGGTTGCTTCCATTGGTCTCTTGGTGGGCATTATCATAGGAGGGTTGTTAGCCAAAACAAACGAAGGTGGACCATCATACATGTCCTTGTCTAGAGGCAGTGTGCCATGGACATCTCTCAAGGCTCCTGGATGGAATCCAATTCACATATTCTATGGCAAGATGGACAATTTCTACAATGAGATTCCCGACAAGTGGTATCTGAAACACTCACCCAAACACACGACAAGCAACAGCAATGAATGGTTTGGTCAGCATGGACAAGATGTGGCTGTTGCCAAGTTTTTCAATTTCAAATCCAATGGTTACTTTGTTGATTTGGCATCGAATGATGCCGTGTGGGCATCCAACACATTTGCTCTGGAGCAGAATTTTGACTGGAAAGGCATTTGCATTGAGGCCAACCCAATTTACTGGTACCGATTATCCTTCAGAACAGGCTGCCATGTGGTTGGATCCATTGTAGGAGGCAAAGATTTTGAAGGAATCACAGTGTCCCTGCCAACAGACCCCAAGAAGAGCGGTCCTTTTGGAGGGATCGTGGGGAAGGACTTTGACAACAAAAAAGCTAAAGAACCCGAAGCAAGATTCACAGCATCCCTCACTTCCATTCTGAAAAAGTTCGGGGCTCCCAAAGTAATTGATTATTTGTCGCTGGATGTGGAGGGGGCAGAAGAATTCATCATGAAAGATTTTCCCTTCCACCAGCCCTACACATTTCGTGTCATTTCAATTGAGCGACCCAAATCGCTGCTCATGAAGAAGCTTGAGGATGCTGGATACAAACAAGTGCTAGACTTTAAGCGGGGCGATACACTTTGGGCCCATTCATCTGTGTATGAGGCAGGTAAGAAACGTGTGGAGGACAAAGGACATGAAATTGCCAAACACAAGCTGGATGACTGGCCTCAAGTGAGGAGATGAAAATTTGACCAATAAATTATAATGCTCTGGAGTGAAGTTTAAGTGTACGATAACAACTCTGAATCTTGCTCCATCTTGGTTGGTTCCAATCATCCTTTCTGCTCTTGGTGGCATCTTTGTTGATTGGGATGGCTATGGCTTTTTACCGGCTGAAAAATCACAACAGCGTTTGCCTTTCTTTCGCTGAGCAGGAGCACTCTTTGCCTGATATTCTCAAACCAGAGCTCATACAGGGAAGTAGCAGTGCACCGACTTGTAGTTGCCTGGGCCGGTATGTCATTGAATGATTGAATCGAATCATTCAATCCGTTGAGATGCGTTGCTAGCTGTTGCTTCAAGCCATCTTTGAGGTCTTCAAAGCGTGGATCAAATATCTTGCCACTGCCAGCACTACCCGTATCCAAAGCTATCCCTTTGGCCTGAAGCTGGTCAAAGACCATGCAAATCTAGCTCTGGCAGCTGATATCTTGCAAAACTTCGTTGCCTGACGCGAAACACCTCAGCCCAAGCTGAAACCCAGCTTGCTGCACAAAACGCAATTGATGACAAGCCAATCCTTCCATCAAGCGATTGCTCCAGCAGCTGCCCTGCAGAAATCTACAGAAAGAAAGATCGAACATTGCGCAAGCAACTATTTATTCATAGCATTATTCATAACATGACTGGGCCTCCAAGATTATTCGCCAGTCTCATAAAAAGCACATTCTCACTCCGATCCAACAACCGCATTTTCCCCGTACTCACCATCATGTCCAGCTTTGGCACTTCCCCTTCCTTGACCGGCAAGCCCAACGCCGTCTTGGTTCCTCCCGGCCAGTGCCAATTCAATGAAGACTTCCAGTCGGTCAAATTGCTGGAACGCACCCACGTCTCTCCCACGTCGTGCGTTGTGCGCTTCTCGCTCTCCGATGAGTCCAAGCCGCTCGGCTTGAGTACATGCTCTTGCGTCCTGGCCAAGGCCAAAACAGCCAAAGACCCAGAGGGTGTCATTCGTCCCTACACACCCATTTCCACCAACGAACAAGTGGGATCCTTCGACTTGCTCATCAAGAGTTATGGAGATGATAGCCTCATGTCCAAGCACATGTGCCAAGACATGGCCGTGGGAGACACCATTGAATTTAAGCAGATCCCTGTCAATATCAAGATTCAGGCTCCCTTTCCCTACAAAAAGGTTGGAATGCTCGTGGGTGGCACTGGATTGACACCCATGGTCCAAGCACTTCACGCCATTCTGGGCAGCTCGGACGCCCCACAGGAAAGTGTGGCCATGCTCTATGGAAGCCGAGACGCGGGAGATATTCTTGGCAAGGATCTCTTGGATGTGTGGACCAAAGACTGTGCCGATAAGTTCTCTGTGACCCACGTACTCTCACATGAACCCAATGATTCCGACTGGAAGGGTGAACGCGGCTTTATCAACAAGGAACTGATCCAAAAGCATTTGCCCTCTCCTGACGAAGAGGGTATCATCATTTTTGTCTGCGGACCACCCCCGATGTACAATGCCCTTTGTGGACCACGAGAAGAAAAGGAGGTCGGGGGTGTTCTTGGAGAGATGGGGTACAAGCCTGAACAGGTTTACAAGTTCTAATCGAATCTGCGATGTACATGCATGAGCAATGATACATGTCATGTAGTAGAGAGTACTAAGGTCGAGAGAATATGCGACAGGATGAGAGAGCAACGTGTAGGTTAAGCACCGCCACGGTGAGAGAAGGTTTTAAAATTTTGTGAAGATGCCTTCGGAGACCTTGTGGAGACATGTAGCCAACAGCAACTCCGCAGTAATGTAGTCGTTTCTTTTGGTCAACCCACGCGCTGCCTTTTCGATGCATCTCCGTTGAATTCATTCCCACTCAAGTGGCAGCACTCTCAATCAGAGCAGACAGCTAATGGGTTCGCTGTCAACGCACAACCATGTGAGGTACCACACAATCAGTGAAGCAGCTAGATAGATAGCGTTTCATAAGTGCCACCCTTAACCATTCATTAGCCTAGCTAGCCAGTAGTTGTCTGTTAACGTCTCATAGCAACCAATACGACGACCACAAAACCCCCATGTTCTTTCCTGCCTCGTTGGACGCTACTGTATCATTGTACTGTATCATTGTACCATTGTTTGATTTAATCCAACCCATAGACCAGCGTAAAGATACCCAGAATGGTCAAAATGACCACCATGATTCCTATAGCGACTCGAATATCGGCATGATCCGAGGCAATCACTGTCAAATCCAATCCTTCACTGTGCTTTTTCTTGGAACGCGACATTTCCGAAAAGACGCGTTGATAGAGATTGGAGGGAACCGTGAGGCAGTATTCGAGTTTTCGGCTGGGTGGATCGTCGGGGCGTCGACATTGAATGACACTTAAAATACCCGGTTCCAGCGTTTCGTGAGGCGACGATGCCACTAGGAGCCTTACGTGATCTCGCGGCAATCGCAACACGACGCGTCCATTTTGTTCGTAGAGGAGGGAAGAGTTTGATCTTTTACTGGTCACAATGGAGTTTTGTCGTTGTTCCTGTTGTTCTTCCAATGTCAGGTCATGTGGTCCTGCGAGAATAGGCGGTGTGACGGCGTAGTCGTTGTAGTCTTCAAAGCGATCATCTTCTTTGAGGGCGAATTCTTGGTTGAGTTGATGATATTTGGCTTGGTATTGTGCTACTGCTGGAGGTGAGAGTACATCTTGCGCATCACGATAAAGCGTGGAGACTCCTTGGGGTGGAGTTTCCAGGACTGCTCGTAAACTTCGATTGTTGTTGTTTCGTTTGGGAGAGCAGCCATTGCGTTCATCGACGGGTCTGTACAGGAAGGAACAATCTTGTTGGATTTGATCTTCTTTGGTCGTCGGTAGCGGTAGATTGCGTAGGATAGATTGGTGCATATTCCCAATCGAAATAGTGTTGTTATTGCGGTCCTGTGAGGCGTCTTGCTGCTTTTCGGGACTGTCAATGCTCTGATAGTAGACTTGTGCTTCTTCATCGTCCATCGTTGCTGTTGGACTTGGTGGAGTTTGTGGTTGCGATAAACATCCAGCAACTGTACCCACTGGAGCGTGTCCCATACTGGTGTACCTGTTGCCAGCGCCATTTCTTCTTCTTCCTGTAGTAGTCGTAGAAGTAGGCTTGCCATGCCACCAGCTCTTCCACCACGAAGTGCCACTACCGTCATCTGCTTCATGGTTGTGTTGTTCCGATGGTTCATCTGCAAACTCTTCAGGTTCCTTTTCTTCCCCTTCCAACAAGGCTTGTTGCTTGTCCCCATGTCTGTTTCGTTTCGTGGACGACATCATCAAGTCTTGAAAATCACTTGCATCTTTGCCGAGCACCATCATTTGAGGAGTATTATGGAGGCGATGCTTTTCGTCTCGAGGACTTCGTGTTGGACTCAAGGCGGATCGAGTATTGTTGTTGCGAGATGGACTCGGTGGAGGACTTAACGGTGGTACAGTGCTACACGACGCCTCAGAACCCAGGCTTGGGCTTGCAGGAGGTGTGATTTCGTGGTTATTGGTCTCTTTATTGGTCTCTTGTTCAATAACTTGGCAACTCTCTTTCGTCGCCTTCTTTTCTGCTATTGCAACAACGACAGTTTCTTCAGACTTGGTGGGTTTGCTCTCAGTGCTGCTGGGAGTGGGGGTGCTTTCCTCTACTACAGCAACATTCTTCGTCTCCTCCGCCATGGTCGCCGTTTGCTGGTTTGCCATCGGAATTCTGCAGTGCGCAGTGTTCTGTTGCGATGCGCTCTGTGTCACATTCAACTCGCGTCGTGCCGGCGTCAGCAATCGTGATGACAAATGACCTTGGCTTCAAGAGACCCTTAAACGTGACTTCCGTTGGAAGCCGAGAGAGTGGCGAGATGCGTTTTCTGTCACTTTGTCACTTTTTCTGTGGTTCACCCTCCTTTGGCCAACTCGAGAGTTCGAGGGAACTCCCGTGGTAGCGTGGTAGCTGACACTGCAGTAGGTTCTATCCGTACCGGTATCATCCTCCAGTTCTTTGGCTATGGGCATATCAACCCGAGATGTGCATAGAGGTACGAGAAACTGTTGGCGTAGGGAAGAGCAGAAATGCCCGCAAACCAAACACTCTCGGACATGTCTGGGTGAGATTTGAGCCAAGGAAAAGCTGCTTACTAATTGTACTAGTCTAGCTAGTACATGTAGTTTGTGTGAATAGATTATGAAAGTGATAGTTTTGATACACTATTATTGTTGCAATGTTTCTTTCAAGTGGATTCCCATCGTCAGTCAGTCAATCAATCCATCAATGCATCGGGTGATACACATTCTCCGTGGAGTTTCCGCTATGCAACAAGTTGCCTGCAGAGTGGTGAGGCGATGGATCCGAATATGTTGCCTCGACAATGGCATAAGCATTGTTGTTTTGGAGGGGCAGACGTGCCTTTTGTCGACTATATGCCTGTCGCTTATCCGTCAGTTTGGCATCCTCCCCAAATGCTCTCATGTCCTTTTCAATTCCAATGCCGACAGCCTCTTTCATACCCGTCACATTCAGATCATGACGGCCATCACCAAACGGATTCATGAGTTTCATGGCCACCAACTCGAGTCCGACAAAGCCGTATGTGAGGAAAAAGACAAAGCCCATGGCAGAATAGATTTCTGAAACTACTCCTCTAAGTACAAAGGGGATGGAGAAGGTCCAAATGAACAAGAACGTTCGACCCATTTGGACCAGGGTAAATGGCAGCGGTGTGGAAGCACACTTGAGCAAATCACGATAGCTGACGACAAACTCATTCAATGCATCCATCATGCGCATTCGTTCGAACATTTCCAATCCCACAGTAGTGTCCTCATCATTCTGGTCGTTCGAGATGATTTGATCGTTGATAGTGTAGAGATGCATTCGAATCGCTTGTGCGTGCAAAAGGGGATCATCATCAGTTTTCCATTCCACATCCACATTCTGAGCCAGGTAATTGGCTTGTCGTGTGTTCTACAAGCAAATGGGGGGATGCAAGCAAGGAATGAGGCTACAGGTTGGTTGATTGGCTGGCAATCTGCATCACTGAGTTTTGCGTACCTTGACCACCCTGACGGTGCAGTCCATCATATCGAGAATCCTGACCGCAGTCTCTCAGTGGATGAAGAAAGTAGTTAGTAAGGTGAGCCATTATGCAAAGAAGGAAGGACCGTCATCTTGGTACCACGCTCACTTGTTGACGCCACTCTGAAGCCTTCTTGTGGCTGGGTGGAAGAGCGTGCGTGTAGAGCAACACCTCTTGGTTGAGCTCCCGACAAGCCAACAGTGCACAGCCAATGGCATGTCTGGAGTTCATGTATCGATCATATGCCAAATTGACCTTGTTGATGACCAGGAAAGATACAATCAGCGTCATCAGTCCATGGCCTGATGGAGAGAAGGCAATTTGGAAATCTTCCATGGCCAATAGCTCCACAAACAACATGATTGTACAATTCAGCAGACAAAAGGGTAGAACCGCACTCCAAATAGAGCCCTTCAATTCAAAGAGAATGTGCCATAGTCCCTACCAGGTACAGTATGAGTTTGGCGTGGATGGTCAAGTATGGTACATGTAAAACCAACGATCTTCATGGGTGAGAGTGGACAAGAGAAAGTGTTCATGTGGTCTTGCTGCATCAAACTGACGTACCTTTGCGGATTCCCGTGTGCTATCTGTCATTTTGTCTGTTTTTACTGATCCTCGTGTGGTCAGCCATTAACCACAGCAGTAGGAGCCTCTTCTTGGAATTGTACGATAATCATTTGCCTTGCATTTCAAGGCTGTTTTTCTCGGAAAAGTGGCAAAAATTCATCGCCAACCCAAAACAACAAAACAACAAAAATCAGGGCGCCCTCATGACTGAGATCTTCTGGAGTCAGTCACGGGTATCTTCCGCAGCTGCCACCCCAAAGTTTCCTCCTGCAATACCACCGGTTTGCCAAGCTAGATCTACTCGTACCACTCTTTGCCATAGTAGCTTTTGAGTTTCTGTTGAAGAAACTACGGTACCGTAGCTGACGCTGCAGGTTCCGTCCGTAGGGTGCCGGTATCATCATCCAGCCCTTTGACAATGGTATTTCAACCCGAAAGTGTGCATATGGGTACACTGTGTACCAGAAACTTTTGGTTAGGGAAAAGCAGAAATGCCCGTCCCCACACATACTACATGTCCGAGGTTTGAGCCCAGGTAAAACTGCTTACTGATTGATTAGTTTGTGTATCAAATAGATTATGAAAGTGATAGTTTGGCACCCTATTCGTTGCACTCTTTCTTTCAAGTGGAATATGGTCAGTCAAAGAGATATTTTTGACACCCTGCATGCAGTACGGTAGTGACAAGGATAAAGTCTGCACGAGGAACGCCAGTGCTGACCTCGTACCGTGCTTGTACGGTGGCAGGAAAGAAAACATTGTGCCGAGTGGATACCTACACACTGTTTTCGTACCGTATGACCTGCAAATTCGTGCTAGAAATTTCCAAGCCACATGGATGCCTCTCACAACACCTCTCCGGCAATCTTGATCCAGTGTTACGGTCGAAGGCACGATCCACCCTCTGCGTGTAACCTCGACTCTCACTCGACTCGATGGAAGTGCCCTGGAAATGGCTTTATGCTAAACATGCTAAAAGGGGCCGGCCATATTCTGATCTGGACTACTAGTACGAAAAGTAGCTCTTTCCCAGCAAAACCATTGCCTACGTATTGTCGCCTGTTTTTAACCCCTAGCTAGGCTAGCTAGAATTCTATTCCGAGTCTTTGTTCTTTCCTCGTTCGGCCCGATCGCATTCGACATCCCTGCACCACTCATACAGCTCGCTTTCTCTATCAGTATTCTTTGACCCACGAACGGTCGTCATTCGATTGATTCCTTCTACTCGTTGTCTTTCTTGTTGTTGCCAAATTTGTTGTAGAGATAGATTGGAGCATCCCCCTTGGTGGTCTTATCCACCATTGTAGGTTCCCATTCCCTCACAGAGAACATGTAGTTTACCACTCTGAAATTTCGATTGTTGTCGTTTCCACAGTGTTGGGCCAATGCATTCAATAACGGTTGGATTTTCTTGATTCCTTTGGGCAACAAGAACATGTACAAGGCTGTAGCATTACGGAATAAACTCAGACCACGACAGTCCTCTCCCAGAATACCAGTCGAATCCTCTTCCTGTTTGGCTGTGGTTGCGTCTTCTTCTTTTCCCTCTTGGTAATCCTTGAGCAACTGCAATAAATCCCCTTGTCGGATATCCACACGTCGTTGCACATCTTCGGGTAACTGTTTCAGTGCCTCACGACCTCTCTGCACAAAGACAGGATCCAATTCGATTCCCACACACAAGAGCCCAGGTGTCATGGCAGCCGCATGAAGAAGCATACGAGCATCACCACATCCCAAATCAAACAAGACATCTGTGTCTTTCAACTGGAGCATCTTGCGAGCCGTCTCCGATGCTTGATCACAGGTCGGATTGAAGGGTGCCAAGCTCGACTCATGGTGCAGATGCACGGCATCACTCCCATTCACAGGTGGGCCTTTGTTACTGCCGCTGCTGGTTGGTGCTGTTGTTGGTAAGGTGCTGGGGGTCGCCATGGTCAAGGTTTGGTAGAGTAAAGGACAGAGCAGAGGGAAAGATGAGAGGAGATCCACCCAATTCAGTTTCCAGGGAGGGATCCCGCAAAAGTCAAGCCATTTGGCCGTTTGTAGAAGTGCGAAAGTTCATGTGTTTTGGCAAGGTAAACTCTAACCTTTTTGAGCTCATTAGAGTTACGGCTACATAATGCCACTCGTCAATTCTTGCTCGACAGGTCACCACGTTGTTCTTGTCTTGAAACCAGAAGACCCCAACCCATCAACCTCCGCGATCATTATTATTTGTATTGACATTGGTTGCCTCCTAGCTAGTATCATCCTCATCTTCATCACTTTAGCTCCTCCACGAGTGCTCACTACTAGTAGCTAGCTAGCTAGCAGCGTCTCTGGAAAGCCGGTGGTGACAAAAAGTGGATGAACGAGAAGAAGAGGACGAAAGAAAGAACAAGAAAGGAAGCAGTTTTTTGGCGACAAGTTGATTGGTGATTGATTGGTTGAACTGTACCGTATTGCATGCAGCATCAGCGACACGAACGAACGAAGAGAGCACCAGCAAATTCATCTGAGCTATCGTTGTCGTGTAGTTTGTCTCATCAGATCCAAAAGTCATCAACAAACAATCATCAACGAGGAGAGTTCTGTTTTTAGTCACGTGACTTCTAGTTGCTAGAGCTGGAGAGCCGAACCGTATCTTGTGAATTTGATTGATCCTACGAGAGCATCCACGAGCTACAAGACAGCGTGGAGTTGTATTGTGTTGATAGTCTGTGGAAAGAAGATAGACTTGCCGCGTGTTTGTCTTTCTTTGGTGTGGCAATTGCACAACCGTGTCATCAATTCGAACAGAAAGGTCTATTTGTTTCTTCGTTTCTCCTCTTGGCGGAGGATGTTGAATGGTTCTCTTGACAACAAACAACGCTACAAATACCATGATACTGCACAAGGAATTGGCTTGGTGATGCCATGCGTCGTCAAGTCGAGACAACCAACAACAACTCGCTGCTGTGGACGTTATGGAAAAACACTACTTCTTTGGACGGCCTTTTTGGTTATTCTCGTTGTCAAAACGACGACTGCAGCTACATTGCCAGGCACGAAATGGCTGGAGCATCGACTACGAAAGCTAGCTCGAGCACACATTATTGAAGCACCGTCAGAGCCCGCCACTTTGGATGGAGCTCTTCCTGCTGGCGAACATCATCATCATCCATCCGCAGAACATGCGCTATTGGTGGTGGCAACTCATGAAGGACAAGTTTGGACCATTGATTCGACGGATGGAAGTCTAGTAGCAGGTTTTTCTACTGGACCACCGCTCCTTGTGGTGGATGATCAATTTGAACAAGCGACAATGGACGGTGCCGCGTATCCTGCCATACCCGAGGGGTTGGCCCAATCTCAAATCGTTCCAAGCATGGATGGCATTCTGTATTGGAGACAACCCATTGACAGTGGCGATACCGGTACCACCAGCAATCAGAATAGCAAGCTAGTTCCCATTGCATCGATTCGTGATTTGGTGGACAACCCAATTCAAATGTGTCAGGAAATTGATGGAGGGAACTGCGACATTTTGACGGCAACCTCTTTGGGTCCATCTCTCTTCTCGTTGAATTCCCAAGGAAGTCTGAATTGGGCAAGATCTAGATCTACCACAACCAGAGTCAAACCTGTGCCGATGCAACGAAAACCAAGTGAAAACGGAAGTGAAGACACGGATGACGACGACGACGACAGTGAAAGCAGCAGCGATAGCAACAGTAGCACCAGCAAGACGAATTTACTGCTGCAACGACAAGATTACTTAGTGCAACAAATATCGACGGAAACGGGCGAACAAGTCTGGAATATTACATGGGGAAATCTGGAATCGCTGGACTTTGTGGGGGACGAACAAGGCGACGCTGGGGCGGCGACAACAAGTTCCAGAAGAAGTAGAAGACGCGACCACCAATCCTTTCACCTGCTGCCGTCGGATGAGCCAGTCTCGTCATCGTCGGATTTGCCGTCTCTTGTCTTTGGCAATCACGGCAAGAGTCTTGTGGCTCTGTGGACGGAACCTCCCAAGTTTCTCTGGAAACGGGATTTTATCAGCGTCATTACCAAAGTCTTTGGCATTGAACGGGACAACTGGCAATCGGTGAACGTCGTGGCCGAGATTGATGATATGAATGACGGGTCCGAAAAGCAACAGTGGTACAGTAGTCGGGAAATATTGCAGCCACTGCTAGGCCTACCGGACCGTGAAGAGACTCAGACAGAAAAGGATGCTTTCAGGTACTGGTGGTGGGCCGGAGGGGGCAAGGGCATGGGGAAGGACAAGCCATTCAGGGATATAGAAAAATTCGTTGTTCAGCCACAACAAGAGAATGGTTTGATCTTTGTGCCCAGACCGCCTGCACACAGTTTGGTCCGCAATTCCTGGTTCTTGAATCATTTGTGGGATTCTCCACAGGCAAGAGGAGCCCAGAGCTTTCAGGGGTTCTTGGCCGCAGAAGCGCACAACGACAAGAAGCAGACGGAAAAGGAAAAGCCGAGCCAGCCAACAGCAAAGCCCGCACAACGAAAGGAGGAGTACCAAATACCTCATCTTCAGATGATGGAACAATCTTATGATACAAGCAACATGCCACGATTGCTTCTGCTGCCTCCAGCAGAGCACCCGTTGCCGTCACCTGCGACTTCGGGCGGACTATTCCTGTCCTGGCCTCTTGTGGTTGCAATTATCACTGCTCTGGTTGGAACGGCGGGTGCCGCTTTTGTTGTCTACGGAGAGAAGAAGAAAAAATGGATGGCCACGTCTGCGAGCCCGGATGGCTCAGGCAATAACACCTCCGGAAGCCAAGGTGTGTCGGACTTGACCGCGGACACCCTTTCGCTCTCTGCGACGAGGACTCGGAGCTTGAGTGTTACGGCAGCCGATCGAAGCCTCTCTCGTTCCAAGGATCAGTCACGCAGCAATTTGAGCGGTAGTGACAAAGGTGCAGCAGGACTTGTCCCTTTTGAGAAGGCTCCTAGACACACTCTAAATCGAAGCTGCAGCGCTCCAATAATGACCAGCGACGCTATTGTATCATTCTCTGGATTGGCAAAGACCAACCTGATGAGCCAAACAAACCACGGAACGGAAATGTCGGGAAACATACAATCGTCGAATCCAGCCGAAAAGGAAGCTCCTCCGTCTCCTACGGATGTTGCCAAGGGACCGCTTGTCAAACATCGATCTGCACCAATAGAAATGCCTTCAGTTGTGCCACAGGGTATCGGAATGATTGATGGAATCCCTTTGATTCGATATTCTAGATACCAAGCAGAGTTTCGCGAAATCGAACCACTTGGGAGGGGAGGATTCGGCTCTGTCTTTAGGGTCGCCAATGTCCTGGATGGCCGCGAATACGCTGTAAAGAAAGTGTCAATACGGTCAAGTGACTGGAATTCACCAGGCACCGAAGCGTTCTCGCAAGAATTGCATCGCGTGCTGCGAGAAGTCAAGTTCTTGGCTCTTCTGGACCACCCAAACGTTGTCCGCTATTACACGGCATGGCTGGAAATGGAAGAAAATGAGCATTTGCCCAGTGGCGAGGAAAGCGTAAGCAACGCGAATACCAACACTCTTTCTCGCCGCCTCTCCAGCGAGCTCTTGACAGGTTTAGATCCAACGAATGAAGAGAATGCGCAAAGCCAAACCACATCATCTTTCCTAGGCAACAGAAATTCGACGAGCACAAGCAAAGCCATACTCAGCCATCTGAAACCAAAAAAGAAGGCCAATCCACTCGGTTGGAATAACACGTTTGGCTTTGAGGACAGTTCAATGTCAGCTTTCCACCCGCGCTACGCCATGCCCATTGTTCCGGATTCGGAGGATTGCGGTTTCATTTTTGAGGAGAGAAGCGACGAAGGGGAAGCAGAAGAGGAGCAAGACGAAAATTTCCACCGAAACCACAACATGAATTCGTTTGGAGGACACTCTGTCACTTCCTCTGAATACTCCAAGTCAGAGCATTCTCATTCTGTATCTAGCTCTTGGGATGCTTCGTACAGCCTCAATAGACGACAGAAGATTGCCGCCTCTACGGAAGGTGCCACAGACGAAGAAAAGAAGAGCGCACCGGAAGCGGCTGATCGACAACGAAGAAACAGCAAGACATCGAAACACACACTGTATATCCAGATGCAGCTATGCAGCCCAGAGACGCTAGGCGATTTCTTGACCAACAAGGAAGCCCGACAGGGACATGCGCTTACTGTTAGCGGATCAGAGGCAGTAGATATTCCACTGGCTCTGCGGCTTTTTCTTCAGATTGTGGAAGCAGTGCATCACGTGCATCAACGAAATCTTATTCACAGAGACCTGAAGCCCAGCAACTGCTTCATCGACGAAATGGGAACAGTTAAGGTGGGAGATTTTGGCTTGAGTCGCGAATCGAACGACAACGACAACAGCGCGAACTCTTCGTTGATTCTGGACGCGCAGCAGGACACCCAATGCGCCGGTGACAACACTGTAGGAGTGGGAACTCGTTCCTATGCGAGTCCTGAGCAGATGAATGGCTCTGACTACGATGCCAAGACTGATATCTTTGCGTTGGGAATGATGCTCTTCGAGCTCCTGTATCCAATGTACACGGGAATGGAGCGACATATTTGTTTCCAAAAACTACGTTCGGATTGTACCTTTCCCGAAGGTTGGCAATCTAGTGTCTGTTCCACGTTCCCAAGCTTGGACCAGCTTGTTCGGTCTATGCTGTGTTTGAAACCAAGAGATCGACCTACAGCCGACAAAGTGGCGCGGCATATCCAAGGACTGATCGAAGAGCACAGCGTGACTCTCAACATTAGTCGCCATGAACACGACATTGAGAATCTCATTTTTTTTCGAGTTGAAGCGAGGCCAGTTCCCGACGTTTTGAAGGTTGTTATCGACCTGATCCACGGTGCAACTGCCCCAGAAACCGTAGAGGTTGTGCAGTACGGCATGCGGAGTGGGACGAAAAAGAGCTCTGACGAAAAGCAACAGAAGAGAGCTATACTCGAGTTTGCTCTAGCTCTGTCGAACAGCGATGCCAGCGTATCTGCGACAAGGGGATCCCTTCTGGCGACCAAACTGGAAGAGCACGATGACATTCTAGTCGCCCGACACGTGTGGCACCAAACCACGCTTGCCAATTGGGCCAGTCGTTCAGTATGACATTATGATGAGGCTATCTAACTAAGAAACATCAGATCATTCACTATCGAAAAATTATTGGCATTAGGCTCTTGTGTTTTAGAGCAACAGAGTAGTTGGGCTCTCCACATATGATTTGAAGGCAGCCAGCCATTGAGCACCTACAGCCCCATCAACAACTCTATGATCACAGCTGAGGGTTGCCGTCATTACCACACTTTCCTTGAAGATTTCTTCACTGTCCTTGTCATCATTTGGTACAATCCGATTCTCCAAAGCACCAAGAGCTAGAGCGCATGCCTGTGGTTCCCGAATGATAGGTGCACAGGATTTGACACCAAACATACCAACATTCACCACACTAAAAGTTCCTGCTTCTCCTGAGGGCAGAAGCATTTCTCCTTCATCATTTGGATCCAGACTTTCCATGCTCTTCGTCAGTTCATCTCCAATGCTTGCAATTCCCTTTCCTCCACAATCTCTTATCACTGGTGTGCACAAGGAATCACCCTGACCAAGAACCACATTGATATCGACTGAGTCATAAACACGGACAACACTGTCCATCCAGCATGCATTTGCAGACGGGACGGCTTTCATCGAGCTGGCAGCTGCCTTTAGCAAGAATTCGTAAACTCCGAGAGTTGGTTTATCATCACTGAGGGTGGCATTCATTGATTTGCGTGACTCCAAAAGACTGTCCATACAGATATCCACTGTCAAATAGTAGTGTGGTACATTGCGTTTGGCTTGAGCCAGTCGTCCAGCAGTGACTGTTGTTGCTTCTGAAACGGGAAAGTCAGTGTAGCCATCACCAGACACTGGCGGCCCGGCAGACATGGCTGCTGCAGCACCAGGAGTTGCTGGTGGTGGAGTGACTGCTTGTCCTGCCATAGTCGGTGCCATGGATTCCGCACCCGGAACAAACTCCTTGACATCGGCAGCAATAATCCTGCCACCAGGTCCAGATCCGGGAACTGAGGCAATGTTGTAGCCCAGCTCCTTTGCCAGCATATGAGCCAAAGGAGAAGCAACAACACGTCCATCAGTATTGGTGGCTGGAGCGGGTGCAGCAGCAGCAGGTGGAGGAGTTGGTGGAGCAACTGCCTCAGGAGTGGTTGTCGGCTCAGGAGCAGGGGGAGCGGGAGCACCTCCAGCATCTTCGACCTTGAAGTCAGAAAAGGCAGAAACATCCTCACCTTCTTCAACTGTAACAAGGATGGGTTGGCCACATTGAATTTCATCAGGGCCTGCATCAACCAAAATTTTGGCAACCACCCCATCATCTTGTGCCTCAAAGTCAACAGTGGCCTTATCAGTCTCTACACTACAGAATACCTCTCCAGCTATAAAAGCGTCCCCTTCCTTCAGATTCCAACTGGCAATAGAACCAGATTCCATAGTCTTTGTTCAAATAAATAAGTAAAGAAAGGACGTACCAGATTAGCCATACAGACCAGTTGATGAATGAAAATTCGTCGCTCTCGAAACTAACTGCTCTACGTAGCGTCGGCACTTACCGGGGAAAGACTCGGCAGACCGACAACCTCATGGGGAGGATACGAGAAAAAGCGACATTGCCGTAGAACATTGCCTCGAACAACAGAACTCTGGGTTGACCATAGAGCCGTCCTACTTCTACCAAAGGAGAGCGGGATCCTCAACAGCTTGGAGCTTGCCATGGTGGAGCAGAAGATACCTTTTAAAATAATGGAAGGAGGGAGAAAATGCCCCAAACCACAGGATAAGGAAAGCCCATGAGAACCGAAGCTTTGATTTGGGTGGCGGCAGTTACCCGTGACTCAAAAGATCTTAGTCTGAGTCATGAGTACGCGGGGTGGTCACCTACCTCCACTTTGTTTTTGTCTTTGGGTTGGCGATGAATTTCATTCGCACACTTCCGTGAATTGTGAATTGCGAAATGGTACAAATAAATACAAGGCTACGACTGTGGCTGTTGGTTGACCGCGAGGCTAATTGAAAGCAGACAAGATGACAGATAGTACACGAGAATCCGCAAAGGTACGTCGGTTTGATGCAGCTTTAATTCTCCTGGCTCCTGTCCACTCTCACCCTTGGAGATCGTTGGTAGGGACTATGGCACATTCTCTTTGAGTTGAAGGGCTCTATTTGGAGTGCGGTTCTACCCTTTTGTCTCCTGAATTGTACAATCATGCTGTTTGTGGAGCTATTGGCCATGGGAGATGTCCGAATTGCCTTCTCTCCGTCAGGCCACGGACTGATGACTCTGATTGTATCTTTCCTGGTCATCAACAAGGTCAATTTGGCTTACGATCGATACATGAATTCCAGACATGCCATTGGCTGTGCGCTGTCCGCTTGTCGGGAGCTCAACCAAGTGGTGTTGCTCTACACACATGCTCTTCCGCCCAGCCACAAGAAGGCTTCAGAGTGGCGTCAACAAGTGAGTGGTATCAAGATGACGGTCGTTCCTTCTTTGCACAATGGCTCACCTTACTAACTACTTTCTTTGTCCACTGAAAGACTGCAGTCAGGATTCTCGATATGATGGACTGCACCATCAGGGTGGTCAAGGTACGCACAACTCAGTGATGCAATTGCCAGTCAATCAAACAACCTGTAGTCTCATTCCTTGCTTGCATTCCACGTATTGCTTGTAGAACACACGACAAGCCAATTACCTGGCTCGAAATGTGGATGTGGAATGGAAAACGGACGATGATCCCCTTTTGCATGCACAAGCACTTCGAATGCATCTCTACACCATCAATGATCAAATAGTCTCGAATGACCAGGACAATACAGTGAGATTGGAAATGCTAGAACGAATGCGCATGATGGATGCATTGAATGAGTTTGTCGGCAGCTATCGCAATCTGCTCAAGTGTGCCTCCACACCGCTGCCATTTACCCTGGTCCAAATGGGTCGAACTTTCTTGTTCATTTGGACCTTCTCCATCCCCTTGGTATTGCGAGGAGTAGTTTCTGAAATCTATTCTGCCATGGTCTTTGTGTTTTTCCTCACATACGGCTTTGTCGGACTCGAGTTGGTGGCCATGAAACTCATGAATCCATTTGGTGATGGCCGTCATGATCTGAACATCACTGGTATGAAGGAGGCTGTTGCCATTGGAATTGAAAAGGACTTGAGAGCATTTGGGGAGGATGCCAAACTGACGGATAAGCGACAGGCATATAGTCGACAAAAGGCACGCCCGCCACTCCAAAACAACAACAACAATATGTATGCCATTGTCGAGGCAACAGATTCAGATCCATCGCCCCATCAGACTGCGGGCAACTTGTTGCATAGTACCGGAAACTCCACGGAGAATGTTTATCATCCGATGCATTGATTGATTGACTGACGATGACAATCCACTCGACAGAAAGAAAGAATGCAACAAAAATACATTTGTATAACGACTTCCTCTCCATTCAATTTGGCATCATGAGGCTTTGCCTCGAAGAGCAGGCTCTTGCTATCATTTATTTGGCAAGGAAACTTTCATCGATCAGTCCACAAAATAAATGTAAAGCTACCGTATAACCCTACTAGCTAGCTAGCTCTGTAAAGAGGGGGTTCGTCGGAAGAGGAGCGTGTTCGATGACCCCTTCCTGCTAAAACACCGAGACACGGTGGCATTGCAAGATGGCTTGCAAGGTGAAGGGGCAATCGGATCCATTGCTCGTGGCATTGTCTTCAAAGAGGACAACCGACCCGAAACGAGTGAATGCGATCAGTGTCAATTTCTCTATAAGAGATCATTGATACAACTAGATGTAACAACAATGCGTCTTGCCTTATTATTATTAGTCTACTCAATGAAATCGGACACTTTGGACGCACGCGCTTGGCTACTATTGGGACCTCCGGCCTTTTCCAGTTTCTGTTTGAGCTGGTCCACTTGAACGTCGGTCTTCTTTCTCTTTTTCTGTTTGCGTTCTTCGCTTTTGGTCGACTTGAACACTTTGGATTCTTCTTCTTCTCGTGCCAATCGCTTGCGTTGCGATGTTTCCTTGGCGGCTGCTTTGCGCGTCGCCAATTTCTTTTGCTCTTGTGCCTGTTGCGTGGCAAAGTATTCTCCCGTTTCCAACTGAATATCGATTTTGCGGGGTGTTTGGGCGGGTGGAAAGGGCGTGTATGCCTTCTTTTCCTTCTTTTTCTGTTGTGGCTTTTTGCGGGGTACATTTTTCTTTTTGAACTGTGGCAAGAATCGTGACCAATCTTCGTTTTGGAGTTTGGGATCCTTGGCGAGTTCCTTTTGGATCATTAATTTTTTAATGTTGTAGACCGGATGGATATTGTTCATGCAGTCAACGACGACACGTCTTGCTTGTTTGATTCCCTGGAAGGAACTTCCCATGATGGATACCGTATTTCCCTGTACGAGAATGTAGCAGCCCGTCAAGATTTCGAGTGCTTTCAAGGTAGAACCCTCGGGTCCGACCAGTCGTTGTCGTCGCTTGACGAATCGTTCCTTGTTTCGGACGAGACCTCCAACTTTGACAATATCACAATGCCACTCGTCTTGTAATATCTTGAGTGCCTGTGCCACGGGGATGGATCGTGCCAGGAGCTTGAGTAAATCTCGAGCCTTGAGAATGACAAAGGGATCCGACGTTCGGTTGGTAGTCCGCACCGTCATGCTACCTTCCACTAGATTCAATTCGCAGGCGATTTTCACGCCATCCAATGCTCGTGTCACAACGGGCCAAATCTGTCTCAGATAGGTTTCTCGGTACTTTGGGAACAGGGTGGCAAACGAAGATTCTTCGAGCAAGTGCCCACCGGGAAGCTTGTCCTTTTCAGGATCCCATTTGTGTTCGTCCCAATTCCAATGATCAATCTGATCATTGTCCCATGGCTTGTCACGACGGTACTTGTTGTGATTCTTTGCTTTGTTAGAAGCAGAACTCTTGTCCTCGTTGTCTTGGTCCGCCATCGTTTGCTTTGACATCTGGAAGAAAATGCTGAAAAAGAAATTAAGGCCCAAAATGTTGGTGGTGGGTCAGCATCAATGCGAGGCGAAGGCCAGACCAAATAATCGTGATTGAGGGGTCGCGGATAGGATGCCATGAATGACCAAAAGTGTCAACCACCTCATCACAAACCTTCAACATTCTCACTTGTTTTGCCTCAAACAAGAAGAAGAATGAGACGGGCGAATTGATTTGATGGGTTCAACAAGGAACTCTTTTAAGTTATCAGTCAAGGCAACAGCAGCAGCAAACAAGTCTAGCTTTCTTTTTTTGGTACTGATTTGTAAAAGATATCCTTGTGGTCGGATACACAACGTACCGGTAGTCAAGTATTAAAGGTTGCTTTCATTCTACAAATACCTGGTGATCATAGGATATTCACCATGAGGACGCGAGAAAAGGCCAATTCCAATAGTCTTGCCACAACAACCACAAAGCGCATGGTGCTGGATCTTCGAAGACAGGGTGCCCTTCAACGACTCCAGTTGGTATCCGCTGAAATAGAAGAGTTGAACATCAAGCAGTCTACCCTTGCTGGAACAAATCCACAAAATGAGGAAACAGACCTGTGGGAGATCTTTCAAGCCGTGGGAAACAACTTGTCTCACTTGAAATCCATTACTATTGCAGATTTCGAAAGCACGCCAGTTCCTATAGCATGTTTGACCATGTTGTTCCAAAACTGTCTCGCATTATCCACTGTACGGATGGATGCCATTCGCATATCCGCATCAGAGGATGACTTAGAGGAGTTGCAACAGTTGGCAACTGCTTTGCAAGGACATCCTTCACTGCAAGAAATCTGCTTTTCGGGGTGCTGTCCGGAGCCAAGCAACAACAATAATAATGGTACATTCACAACCAGCAACTTTGCCACCTACATCTCCAAGGCACTTTCTCAGTTACCCACACTTCAAGTTGTGGAAATTGTGGAAACGTCGTTTCCTTCCTCCAGGGCTTGGACTGGGGAATCGTTGCAGTGTTTGTGCCAATCCAAAACCATTCAATTGCTGCGAATCAGAGGGGTACGATTCTTGGGAGATGAGGATCTGGTCATGATGGCAAAGGCCTTGGAAACCAATCATGCCATGAAGGAACTCTGGATACTCGCTTGCGAGGTGGGGATTATGGCAACAGCAACACCTGCTAGTGAAACCAACAGCAAGGACGACAATGATGATGGTGATACCAATGGAGCCCAGGCCATGGCTCAAATGTTGCAAGTCAACACTAGCCTTGAAATCCTAGGTTTGAACCGACTTGCTCACAAAGACCACGCTATTGCAATTGCCAATGGACTTCGGAACAATCGAACGCTACGAGGTCTGCATCTCTGTTTGCGAGATGGAGGCGATGACATGCATTACAATCAACGCAACGCCGGCATTGCCACGGGCAGCACTACCATTGCAGAATCCTACGCCAAACTACTGAGGAACGACAACTACGTGCTGGAAAAACTGAGTGGGAGTTTCCTTCGTCGCGATGGTCGTCAAACCAGTTGTACAGCCAATCGACAAATTGATTTCTTCCTCAGACTGAACCGGAATGGTAGACGACAGAGACTCTTGCAGACTGACGACAATGATGTAATAACGCGACTGCAATGGCTGGAAGCTCTGGCATCCCAGAGCGACAACGTCAGTGCCTGTTTCTATTGGCTCAGTTGCAATCCTTCTCTGTGCTATGGTCGGTAGTCGCGAGGAAGGTGCCTGCTGCACGAGATGGTTCTTCTGTGCTTGCATTCTTTGCATGAGCTAGCTATCTAATAAGAAGGTGACAAAATAAGTAATGTATCAATAAGCAATCAGACGCATGTGTCTTCTTCGTCAAAGTGCTGTTAAGGGCCGTGAAGGTTGCCCGTGTAGAGCACAAAACAAACCAAGCCTGGGAGGGAAATTGAAGCAACTACACCGGGTTGATATCGTAGCACCATATGATGGATAAGCTATGCTAGTGGCCATTGCGATCTCTGAAGAATACACCACTAGCACTCTATTTCTACCGCTATAGCTTTTGCACTTCAATTTTTGCTCTTCTTAGCAATGGGTCTATGGAGACTCGAGAGTTGGGTGCAAGAAACGTAGCTCCCAGAGGGGTGTAAAATACTCGTTAGTTTAACAAACTATGGCCACGGAGTGGCTTTAGTGACGCGGGCAATGGGTGGGGAAGCCCCCACCTAGCTGAGTCGTCATCCACATAAATTCTGCGCAGTGTCGGTTCATTCTCAAGGGGCCCGGATGGGCCCCCCATTAGTGGACAATGCTGCACTCTCGTGCAGGAGAAGCTGGCAAGGGCAGCACCTGGAGCGCAGGAATACCCAGGATTTGAAAGCATGTTACTCATTTGTAGTGGTTCGGCCAGTTTGGAGGTAGGTGTGCATTGATCGTTGAAGTTGTTGTTGTGTGCGGCGGTGGTAGGTTGTGCGAAGTCGTCCATGGGCAGCCCTAGCCAGTTTGATGGTTTCGAGCCAGCGAAGGGTTTTGGGAGTGACAGGTTGAGGTTGATTTCTCTGTAGTCAAGATCGAGGCGCCAGCGGTCGGTGGGAGGTAATGTGGCATCACCTTTGGAGTACTCTTTCAGGATTTCCTGTCGGAGGGTGGAGAGGTGGAGAGTTGGGTGGGGGTTGGTTTTGCACCGTGTAGTGCATCGTTCCTGTGCTCCCACATGCGGAAGTGAAGCATCCACAGTTCATTTGCCAAGGCAGTTGCCCAGCTGGTGCCATCACCTTGTTTTCCAATGGAGTGTAAGTGGAGCTCGTGGGCAGTGCAAAGTGGGATTGCGATTCTGCCAAGTAGAAAATTCCACCATCCCAGTTTGGCCTGTGCACGGAGTCCGTTTACAGTGCTAGGAGTTCCAGATCCCATCCAGAGAGAGGTGTTGTGTCCCTTTTGCCAGTGATGGAGTTGGGTCAGGATCTGCTTGGTCATCATGGGGTCTGTGTGGCGCTTGTGCAACCAAGTTTTCAGCTTGGAAATCTCCTGGTTCCACTTTGGATGGATGCTGGGTCTTGCAGCGTAGCACATGGAGGGTGTCTTCGTCGGCTGTTCCACACCGTGGGCAATCGCTGTGAGCCTGCCATTGGCGGCGTTGCAGCTGGCGTCCTACACCACAGTGGCCTGTTGCATGTTTGGTGATGAATCTTTGGATGCCAATTGGTGCCTTCCTCATGGCCCTACCCATTGCCTCCCAGTTGATAGTGTCCAGCGCTCTGTCCAATCCGCTTCGGAATAGACGACGTTAAGAACTCTTTCCTCGCGCTGCTTCCAGTGTGCCTTGATTTTGTCTTCCCAAAGGGCTCGTGCATCTCACGGGGGTGGAAACGGGCTAGTTTCTTACCCTTGTGCCGAAAGATGACGCGCTCGTTGGTGAAGGGTAAATTAGGGCACGGTTTGGAGTGATCCTGAGTCCACTGGGCTTTGGCAGCAGTATCCATTTCAATGTTCAGGATTGCCCAGCGGTCGAGGCAGCCGTGGTACAGTCGGGTTCCCTGTAACATGTCCTGGGGGAGGATGTGGAGGGCTCGAGGGCTGCTCGTCCTGGTGGCCTTTAACCATCGGAACTG